AATTCACATAAATATAAAAAGCATAAATAAAAATTTTGACAAACTTAAGCACTTCCTAATTGATTGTAATTACTTAATTAGTATGATTTGTCTAACAGAAACTTGGTGTTCTGACGAATCAATCCAAAATAGCACTAACTTTCAAATTCCCAATTATAAATTAATACCTTCTGAAAGAAAAACATGCAAAAAAGAAGGAGGGATTGCAACTTATGTTCGGAATGATCAAGCAATAAAAGTAAGAAAAGACCACTCCATTTCTAATGCTGATAGTGAGGTCTTTACAAAAGAAATATTAAACTCCAAGTTTAAAAATATTATTGTTTCTACCTGTTATAGACCATCTGAAGGAAATATTAAAACTTTTTCTATTTCCCTAGGAGAAATTTTTCTCAAAATCAATAAAGAAAAAAAAAAATTATTCTGTATTGGGGACCTCAACATAGATTGTTTAAAATACAATGAGTTTCCGATTACTAAATTATCTTTTGACAACATGTTTCAACATTGTATTTTACCAATTATTAATAAACCGACACGGGTAACCTTAAATTCTATTTCTGCCATAGATAACATACTAACAAGCTCATTTCTAGATACCTCCTTAAAAGCAGGAATAGTAAAAATTGATATAACAGATCATTTTCCATTTCACTTTACAATAAAAAATGATACAAGAGTAAATAATAATTTGAAAAAAATAACTTATAAAAGAAAAATAAATAAATTTTCAATTCAAAATTTTAAAGACACACTATCGGCAGTAGATTGGGTTAAAGTGTATCAAGAATGTAACCTTGGGAACACAAACTCTGCATATAATACTTTTACAGATATTTTTCTAAAGCGCTACAATAATCATTTTCCAATCAAAGAAAAAGAAATCAAAGTCATATTTGAGCTGTCCATGGATCACCTGCGGTATTAAAAAATCTTCAAAAACAAAACAAAAACTATACGTTAAATATTTGAAAAACAGAAATGCGATTAACCTATCTACTTATAAACCATACAAAAATCTTTTCAAAAAAATTAAAAAACATTCTAAAAAAATTTGCTACTTTAAATTACTTAAAAAAAAAAATTGAGACATGAAAAAAACATGGAACATTATGAAAGAAATAATCGGGAAAAAAAACAAAAAAACAAATAGTTTACCAGATAGAATAATTATAAATGAAACCGAACACGATGACAAGAACTCAATTGCCGAACACTTCAACAATTTCTTTGCAAACATAGGCCCAAACATGGCGTCTGAAATTTTAACTACAAATGACTCCTTTGAAAACTACCTTACAGATCTAAATAGCGAACTAATTTTCAATGGACTAAGCTATGAAGAACTTGAAAATGCAAAAAACTCTTTAAAAATTAACAAAGCACCAGGAATTGATGAAATTTGTAGCAATGTAGTAATAAATATCTTTCCGATAATAAAAAAACCCCTCTTCGAAATATTTAAATTGACAATTATAACAGGAACCGTTCCAGAGAAATTAAAAATTGCAAAAATTGTACTTATGTATAAAATTGGAGAACCATATTTACTATAGACCAATCTCAATCCTTCCTCTATTCTCATAACTTCTCGAACGAATAATTTCTAATAAACTGTATATATATTTAACAAACAATAACACCTTAAATAAAAAACAGTTTGGATTTCAAAAACAACATGCAACCGAACATGCAATCATAGATCTTGTAAAAAGCATCAACTACTCATTTGTTAATAATGAATTTGTTCTAGGAATCTTTATAGATCTATCAAAAGCATTCGATACTGTTGATCATGAAACCCTGCTCAAAAAAATGAAAAATATGGCGTAAAAAATGTTGCATTACTCTGGTTTAAAAACTTTTTGCTAAACAGACAACAATGTGTAAATACTGATGAAAATATCTGTTCAAAAATGCTAAAGATCAAATGTGGCGTTCCCCAAGGTTCCATTCTAGCTCCCCTACTGTTTTTATTATACATTAATGATCTTCCGAAAGCCTCAAACAAACTTGATGTCATAATGTTTGCAGATGACACTAATTTATTTTATTCATTCCCGTCAAATACAGAACTTTTTGAAACAACGAATATTGAACTCGAAAAACTTAATAATTGGCTAAAATCTAATAAACTATCCCAGCCGGCATTATTACGTTGTTTTAACGTTGAAATTCGGTTGAAGCGTTGTTTCAACTTTGTTCAACTATTTCACAACGTTAAATCAACGTTACCGTTTAAACGTTGATTATTTAACGTTATTTCAACGTTAAATCAACGTTACAGTTTAAACGTTGATTATTTAACGTTATTTCAACGTCATTGTTTCAATCATTGTTGACAAAAAATACGATATAAATTTATGCGCGCGCAGAAATGTAATTAAAAACGTAAACATTATTTCAACGGTTAAATTTATAGAGATTTATAATGGAAAAAAAATGTAATTACTGAACTTATACCATATAGAATTTTCAAGAGATCGAAAACATGTTCAGACAATTTTCCTGAAAGAACATTATCCTTTAAAAATCGATATTTTTTGTTTAACTTGGGCTACAATGCTCAAAGACTGATATTATTAAATGTAAATATAATACAACTTTTTCAAAAAATGATTCATTAAATTATGTTGAATTTAATGCTAAGCGTTGTTTTTTAATAGAGCATCAAAAATTAAAAAAGGAAAGTGATAACTTTAAAAAAGAACTTCAGCACGAAATAAAAAAATAAAGGTTTATATGAAAAATTAACTTCAACCACATCAGTTATTACTATGAAAACAGACAAACTTGTTTATAAACCTAATCCAAACAAATCGTGTTATTGCAATTTACTTGTATACAAACATTTATTTTAAAAATAATAGATCTTGCGACTTTTATACTGGCCTTACATCTGTCAATGTGTTTCATCAGTTAGTGCAGTATCACCATTAATCAAAAGAGATAAAGTGATATTAAAAAAAACATTTACTTCTGTTTTTTGAAATTTAAAAAAATTCCTTTACTACTTGGACCAAAATAAATGTAATGCAGCAAAGATGAATTTTTAATGATGCTAATATTTGGATTATTGACAGCTGATTTATGCTGACAGGTTGAATATATTTTTAGGATTAGCGAATGCAATATTTTCTTCATTGTTGAAAGCTTCTAGTTCACTTTTAAACCACATGGTTTTTGTTCCAAGTAAAGATGTTATAAGACAGGCAATGCAAAACAGATTTTAGAAAGTAAATTATTCAGACTAACACTAAATTTTAGATATAACAGAATTTATTATGGAATCACCTTAAAATTTTGACTTACAGAAACTAACAGGGAATGAATACAAACATTACAGCAATATAAAAACATTAGTACCCGTAGCTCCAAATTCATCAATAATTTCTTTAAAAAATTTCTAAAGCTTACAGAAGCTAAATTTTGGATAAAAAAATTACATATTGCAACAATTATTTAGATTGTATTACAAAATACTCTTCTATAACGTATGATTAAGGCTTTAATATTAATTTTTAATACAAATGAAGTGATTTTAATTGAATCCATTTTTATCAGTCACTTTAAAAATATGATGAGTATTTGTATAAAGATAATTAAAATTTCAAACAATAATGTTTGCTTTACTTGTTGTTGTTTTTTAGGTGAATCAATTGCAATTGATGGAATATATTTAAAATGCTGAGGTAATTAAAATAATTTTTAATTTTTCAGGAATTTTAAGGATTAAATTATTTAGCAAAAAAATTGTTTGATAATGAGTTCAATTTAAATTAAAAAAAAAATTAATATTAGTTCTCGCATAATTAATATCAGTTCTCTTATCTATTAAAATTTAGAATATATTCCAACAATTTTGTGATCTCCATAAATATGAAGGGGAAAGGTGGAAATATGCTTTAAGAGCACTAATTTATATGGTGTAGTGAAAGGTATATCTTTATAAGATATGTAAAACTTTTTTATTCTCATTTTTTATATATTCAAAAATTTCTCCTTGTGTTTTTTTTTTTTTTTTTTCTAATTCTTTTTTATTAACAGCTTCTTCTATTAAATACGATGGAACGACTGAAACTTTAATTGATGGCATTTTGTCTAACTTCTAAAAATGTGCTTCATTTCAAAAAGGTGGCGGAAAAGAAAAAAATTTAGATTGATTGATATAAATTTATATTTATAAAAATCAATCTAAAATTTCTTTATTGAAATATTTACATATATTTCAATAAAGAAATATTTTCTTTTTGTCTGCTAATATTTTTTTTTCTGTGTTAATTCAACATTACAAATTAAAACTCAATTATGAAAAAAGTCTAGAATTGAGTTGATGTTTTAAGTAAAATAAGAAAAGCCCAAAAAGTAACTGATTTAATATTTTTATTTTTTGATAAAGAAATAATAAGTAATGTTTATTAGATAAAGATAAGTAAAAAAATAAGTTACAAGTTATTTTTTGATCTTGAAAATTGTTTGAATGATAATTTATTATTTATCAAAATATTTTCTTTTTTAATTTTTGTTGTTTTTATATTTTATTTAAAAGTCGATATTATTGTGTCATATATTATAATATACCTTAAATTATACTATTATATTTTATATTAATAATGAGTATTTTTGTTTTTTTGTATTTCTATTTTTTTCAATATTCCATAATTATCTTATGTAGATGTTTATGTTTTAGCAACCTAGTATTCTTTTATTATTTGTCTTTGTTATTGAGCCTTAAGTTATTTGAACATAATATATTCAGAACTCTGCTGAATAATAGAGTAATAAATAAATTAATAAAAATGATTTTCAAATATTATAAATTTATAAAATAAAGAAAATCTTATCTTTGCTTATAATGTCTACTAATATTATTGTTTAGCAAGTATCATGGTTATAAAATGTTCAAATTTAGCTAGTTTAATTAAGCCTGTTAGTACACTTATATTACAGTTTCTTCATCTTATATTCGTTCATGTAATTTTTTCAAAATCGAATATGCGGAAAGGAGTTGTTTGGAATGAAGATTTACAAGAAGAAGTAATTCCATCTAATTGAATTAGTGATAAAATTGTTTGTCGGCTTCCAGGTACCAAAGCATTGACTGCATTAAAATGCAGAGAAGAATTGGCTTAAGTTTATACAAATAAAAACTAAGTTCTCTTCAGGTATTACATCTATATATTACAATTTTTATTTTTTAAATGATGTGGTAAAAAGAGTTATTTTGTTGATACAAAATATATAACTATTTGTATAACTATTTCAATTCTAAAAGAAAGCAAACAGTATTGTGAAAATTTTTAATTCACAACTACAAAAGAAAAATGTGATAATGAGAATGTTGACAAGTGGATGCAAGATCTGCACACAAGTGGAAACTTGGATGCAAATTTTCCATTTGTGTGGTTGGGATGGTTCTCCACAATATAATATATCCCCACAAGCATAGTATTAGATTTACTTCATGTTTTTTACAGATAAATCAATTACAGATAAATTAATTAGTTAATTGGTGGAACGTCTTTTAAAGATAGAATACACAAAATTATGCTGAGGTAATCAAAAACAGTATTGGACTCTTACCTCATTTATAATCAGGTAGTCTGCAGCTCCTCTAAAACCCTCTAAAGTCCTCTTTTTTTTAAAACCACTTCTAAAACCTTCTACTATCCTCTAAAGAGGTAAAAATTTGATCAAAGCTCCTCATTAATTCTTCCTTTATTAATTTTTGATGGAAGTATTATGTTTAAAATACCCATTCTCGGTCTGCAAAACTGGTTAACGCCTTAAAGTGCATGAAATGTAAAAAATTGCTCTAGAAAATGCATGCCATTTAACATAATAAATGACATAATTTGATCCCTGTCCCAGCCCCATAAGTGTATAAACATGGACGTTAAACCATTAAGAAATGGCCACATAAAATTTCTTATAAAAATTTTATGTGGCCACCCCGAAAAATATTTTTAAATGCTAGAAATGTTTTATATTTTGACTACCAATTTATTTTTAATATATTAAAAAGGTTGTTTTATTTAAATTAAATATTTAAAAAAAGTTATTAATAACCAACTAACAGTTATATTATGTTTTTAAAATTCAGAGTATTTTCGAAAAGTTATATGGTCTCTATGGATATGAAGGGCAAAGGTGGAAAAATATGTTTTATGAACACTAATCTATATGGCGTTGAAAAAGATGTGCCTTCATAAGATCTAACACTTTTCCATTCATTATTTATTTTTTAAATCTTCCCTTTTTGATTTTTTTAATATATTTTTTTTAATTACAGCTTCTTTTATTGTATTCAATGGACCAAAAAAACCCTCGGTTAATGGAACATTGTTTGACTTTCTAAATTACGCTTTATTTCAAAAAGGTGGTGGAAAAGAGAAGAAATTTGTGTAGATTTTATTCAATTACATGTAAATATATGTAATATTTGAATATGTATTTTTGAATAAAACAAGTTTTATCTCTTTCTTTAATCATACCTTGCTATTTTAACTAAACTAAACTGAAAAAGTTATAAATAGTCTAAGTATAGACTATGAACAGATTTATTATCCATAATATAACTTGATAAGGTACAGCAACACTAATGTACATGCATAGTACGTTTTGATGGTGATCATATTTTGACGCACATAGCACGTTTACATACATATATACATTTTGACATACATAGCACGTTTTGATGGTGAAAAAGTGTTTTACAGTCGTTTAACGTTGATAAATCATCGTTAAACACTATCATTTTAAACGTTGTATCAACGTAAATTCAACGTTGTTGTAACGTTTTTTCGCGTCGAATCAACGTTGATTTAACGTTTGAACCTAACGTTGATTTAACGTTGATAAATCAACGTTAAAAAAAACTTTCATTCTAAACGTTAATTCAACGTTATTGTAACGTTTTTTTCGCGTCGATTCAACGTTGATATAACGTTTGAACCTAACGTTGATTTAACGTTGATAAATCAACGTTGAAAAAAACTTTTATTCTAAACGTTAAAGCAACGTTAATTCAACGTTAGGTTTCAACAATATTTCAACGTTATTTCAACGTTATTTGCCGGCTGGGTATCTTTAAACACCGAAAAAACTAATTACATCTTATTTCATCCAAATCAAAAAAGAAAAAAAACTACCAAATATATTGCCATTGCTAAGAATAAAAAACAAAAATATCAAAAGAACCACAACAACTAAATTCCTAGGTTTACTTATTATTCAAAATATTTCATGGAAAGCCCATATTGACTATTTAAATACTAAAATAACCAAAAACATTGGCGTGCTATACAAAGCTAGCCGATGTTATCCCAAGAAAATCTAAAACATCTTTATTTTTCATTTATACATACCTATTATACATATGGTAATATAGCATGGGCTAGTATCAATAAATATAATTTAAAATCACTTCATCAACATCAAAAACATGCCACTAGAATTGTCTATAAAAAAGATAAACTTACTCATGCTGAACCTTGGTTTAAACTCCTAAATGCACTAAACGTCTATAGAATTAAAATTTACCAAAACTTACTCTTTATGCTAACATTTAAACTAGGGCTTGTCCCACCACATCTCTTAAATGAATTTTTTAAAAGCAATAAAAATACATATGACACTAGAGAAGTAGGAAACTTTAATGTACCGTTCAGAAAAACAAAACTGTCGCGTTTCACAATTTCGTATCGCGGTCCCTATCTCTATAATAAACTGATATCCAAAAATGCCATTATTACAAAATTAGATAACATAAATTGTTTGAAAATCTTACTAAAAAAGTTTGTTTTAAATATCAGTAATTATTTAAACTTTCACTAGACTAAAACCAAAATTATAATTGAAAACAAAATCCAAAAAACTTCAATAATATATATTAATATAAAAAATCAATATAAGTCAATAATATTTATATTTATGCTTAATAATATATTTATGTGTATTATGTGTACTACAAACAGTATTTACCAACCTTTTTATTTCTACATTTTATTATATGTGAACCTTATATAAAATGAAGTATTTTGTGAAACTTGATACATTGTAAAACGAAAATACAAAAAATATTACAGGTACAAGCGGTTTCTTGATGACAAGACCATCTGGTCTTCTGCAGGTTTCCCGCGTTCTTTTAATATTAATGATACCCTACAATCATATTTTTTGTATTCTACAAAATTGTGATATATTTTTAGTACTATATATTTTAAAAACATTATAACTTTGTACCAATCATGTAGAATCACAACATTATAAAGATAAAAGAACAAAAAAATAAAAAAATAAATAAATAAATTTATAATTTATGTTAAATAAATTTGGAAAAAAGCGATGTGGAATAAATTTACCAAGACCCGTGTTTTACGGTTCATGACAGCTTATATATCTATAAAATGAGAAAACTTTATAATTTTATTTTAAATTTTAGAAATCTTTTTTGCTAAGTTATTATATTATTGTCATAAGTATATAAACATTATTAAAAAAATGTCAAAGTTTATTACGCTGAAGAAAAGTCTTAAACCCCCTAAAAAAAACTGATGACAGCGCACTTAACTACTGAGCTATCAAAATGAAACGCATTTAGTAGAGAAATAAATCTAATTATAATTCTTTTATAAGTTCTATATACGCGGAAAAGGTGCACATGTTAAGTTTTTTACTCTTAAATGTTTTTTTCAGAATAAATTGTTTTACTAAAAAATATTGAATTAAATAAGGAATAGGTATATAAAAAGTGCAGAATAGATATGAATAGAATTATTAGGCTTGGTTAAGGCCCGTATTTTACGGATCCGGAAAGCTAGAATTTATCGGGAAATAGTAAAGAAAAGTTCGGTTTGGAATAGACTTACAAAGACCCGTATTTTTACTGTTCCGATCTCAGTTAGTTTATTATTAAATCACTTTTAAAAGTTGTTTTTAACAAAAACTAAACTCTTTTCTTACAAAAACTCTTTGTTTACTAAAACTTAGGTATAAAATTGATTTTAAAATTTAGTCATTATTTTTTCATTAATAATAATCATTAATAAATAATAATGTGGGATCATTTAATATTAAATTATAATAAATTTAATATTGTATTATCAAAGTATTAAATTTATTTATAATAAATATTTAAATTAAACGATGGTTATAAAATAATAATAATAAAAAAATTGTCTGCTATAATGTGTATCCATCTATTTTGAAATTAGTTTAAATGAAAAATATTTTATTTTAGAAAATGCCTCTAGATAAAGATCGCGACAATCAGTTAATTAACGCGTCAAAGATTACAAGGAAGCGAAAAAATTTTTATTTGCTTGGGTTTACTTTGCAGAGGTTTGCCCCTAATAGACTTCTACAAATGAAGAAATGCTCAGAAGTTACTACTGGCTTAATCTCGACAAAAAACACAAGGTAAATTAGTAACAAGCTAACTTAATTAATGTAAATTAGTAACTATCAAATTTTTGAAACGTTTTAGTACCACACAGATTAACGTCAAAATTGGCAGCCCAGTTGCTTCTGGTAAGACTTGTTTAAGATGCTCCAGATTTGATGATGGAGTGTGCGGAAAGAACACCAAGCAGTTAAATACAAACATTTGTATTCTGAGGGAGTCTGAAAATTTGTGTGCACAAACAAGGTTTAACGATACTTCCACTGTGACCGAACAAACTATAAAGAACAGAATTACCTAGAAAATTAAAGAGTATCACACTTTAAAAATACTATAAAAACAAGGCATTTTTTTTTTTAACGCTCTTTGAAAGAGAAAAGTGCGCTTTTTTCTATTCAAAAATTAAACATATATGATTTAATTAAAGTTGATAAAAATAGGGATGACGAGGCTAATGGCGAAGACATAAAATGTTTGAGGCATTGTCTGAGAGGGGATATCGTTAAGTTAGTTAATAAAATGTTTAATCAAAATGTTTGCAGAGCACAGGAAAAACATTTAAAAAAGATCCACAGGCATGCGGAAAAAAATGAGAAAAAATAAAGTAACTATTTGCAAGGAGACTTTTTAAGCATAGATAGTGACAATCAAAGTAAATGCGATGAAATTTATTTTCCTCCTGCTGAAGGCCAGAAAAAACCAAAAAAGATTTCAGAATGACTTTAAAGTGTGCCTTCAGTTAAGTCTGGGAGACATTCTTCAAAACTAAATCCCAATTATGACCAGATTTAGAATTGGAGTCAAACCAGGTATGTGTCTTTTGAACTATCTTTAAAAAGCTAGTGGTGTTGACATTGATAATATCCCTATCAAGATCAACTCAAAACAGGAAGACTCACACTGTTGTGGAGCCTGAGCACAGATGACCTTGGAAAAAAAAATTAGATAAAATAAAAGGTTTGAAAAATGTGGTATCCTTTGACACAAAAATATTGAAAAGATACAATTGCGAAAAAGGAGTATCTAAAATTGAAGATAGAATTGCCATAAGCGCATCATCACCAGAGTCTGGTCCGCTAGACTTCCTTCTGGGCATCTTAGAAATCAAAAGTTCTAAGGGAAGTGATCAAACTACTGCCATTCAAGCTATGCTTGAATACTATGAGATGTCTTATCAGATTATTGGATTGTGTTGGGACACAACATCCAGTAACACTGGGAGGAAAAAAAGGTGCCAAAAGCATTATTATTTCATATGCCCTAGGTAGACCGGTTCTTTAGCTAATGTTCAGACATCACATCTATGAAAAGCATGTGGCTTAGGTAATAAAGGAAATATTTGGTCAAACTAATTGTCCCAGCAGGAAGCTATATGTTACTCTCCAAAAAATTTGACTGGAGACTTAAGAAGATGTAAACAAACTAGGGAGAGTTGTCAAAACCTGACTCTTTGTTTTATAAACCTGCCACGGATACAAAAGAATTCTGTACCAAAGCTCTTCGTGATAGGAAATTACAGAGAGAAGATTACATGTATCTTTGTGGGCTTCTGGCATTTTTTCTCGGAGCTGAGTTACCAAACTTCTCATTTAAACAACCAGGAGCTCATCATGAAGCAAAATTTATAGCAAACTGTATCTACTTGGTGATTCAAATGACTCAAATATACTACCTAGTTGATTCCTAATCTGGTAATATAAGCATGTTAAGAAATCAAAAGGCTGCAAAAAAATACATTGTATTTTTTCACGGCTTCTTCTTTCTGAAATGCGCAATAGCTTCTCAAGCACCATCGAATGAGTTGATGACTATTTTATATAAATCCAATATTGCTTTTCAGCTACAAATAATGAACGAGCTTAAAAAATTGGTAGTTGTGGGAAAGGTTCTTTACCAAAGCCTCAGACGTCACACTTGGTACCTGTCCCCCCAATAAGTAGTTTTTGCTCTTGCTGATAAGAAACTGAAAGTTGAAGTTAAAAACAAT